TTCCATGACTGGATCCAACCATGGCACACACGGCCACGGCAACAAGTGGACACTGTTGACTTCCTTTCGCACCGCAACAGCGGCGCATGCTCCAGCCTGGGGCTGGTGTCACGATCTCCCGCTGCTCCTGGCAGGGCCTCCACACCAACCTCTGCACCTTCAGCTCCTGCTGCCACAGTGCCGAGTTGCCCCTGTTTCAGCTGCTGCATCCAGCCCCTCCCTTGCCTCTCTTAGCCTGCATGGAGCCTTGGTAAAATAAGGGACTGGCAGAAAGCTAAGCAGACAAACAGTTAAATGAGCACTTAGGTGAGCTGAGCTGAGAGGAACCCCAGGGTAATAGTTATATTCATTTCTTTCTTCAGCTGTCTTAAAGAGTGGTTAGGTCACAGGAAGAYGCTATCGAATGCATCTCAATGGGGTTCAAAGGAAAAGTCTCACTAAAGCCGTGGGGAAGTTTTGCAGAACTCTTTTAATCCCTTCACCGAATTTCTTTGAGGTGACTTCTCCATCCTCCCCAGCAGCTCCAACCTCTTTCTGTTTCTGGACTAAGTCCTTCAGGGAGCTCATCACACTAAGTATCACCTCCATGGGGTTTCCTGGCCCGACACGCTTGGTGCCTTCAAAGTTCTTCCCCTAAAAGACRTCTCCCATGCATACAAGGAGTTGATGCTAAACACCCAAGCAGCTTCTGCAAACACAGTAGGGTAAAATCACCAAAAGGCTGMCAGCACTGAGAGAAGTGGACTTAAAACAACTAGAGCATTTAATGCACCCTCTATTTYGTATTTCCCTCAAGAGACAATGTAGTCATGACACTGGAGATGACTCTGCTTTCCTAGAGACTAAGGAACCTGGTGCTCACCGCAAATCCCCAGACTGAGCATCACCTTCAAATAAARAAAAACATCATCCATCCTGTTTTGCAAGGAGACCCTTTAACCGATGAGCATTAATCTCCATCTTAGTCAAACTAACCATGAAGTAAAAGACGGAATCAATAATACGGACGTAGTATTTTTTAGGACGACTCTTAAAAGGTCACCATGTTGCCTTCCTGGGGATCAAATCCACCACAGGATGCCTGTGTGTGCAACACCCAAGGACACACTGATCAGCTTTCTGCAACCTTCTGCAGACTCCTTAAGGAAAAGCTTGTGGCTTCAGTGAAATTTCAAAAGAAAATGGACAGACAGTCTTGTTTCTGAAATTTGCAACTTGCAAAGCTGCTTCCAATCTCATTGCACTTCAAAGTTCTGAAGAACCCAACTCAAGGACTGCAATCAGGAAAGTTATCTCATAATCCATGAATTAAGCACATCTAAAACAGAAACTATCGAGACACAAACACTGCAGTCTCATTTTGCATTTTTCTTCAGAGCAGATTTACCCTTCAGCCATGCAACCTCTTTCAGACATGCTCTTTACATAAACAATTTGAAGTTTCATATTCAGGCTCTGCGAGACTAGTGGTAATTGATTAAAACAGGAGTTGATTTTCTTTAACATCTTGGGCTGAAAAACTGAAGTAATTCATAAGTTGGTTCACAAGCAAATTGGACATTCCTGCCTCATGTTGACACAGACAGCTCTAGGGCACGACAAAGTTGAGCTGACAAATTCTAATCTGCTACTACAACATTTAAAGCCCCCAAAATGAATCTTTCCCTAGTACAGCTAAGATGGTTCCCACTGTTTCTGAACTTGCCAAAACATGAAGAGATCTGATCCCTGCACTTAACAACATTCATGCTCACCTCAGAACTACAGTCTTGCTCTCAATTCTTTCCCAAGCTGTGCATGGAAGCTGGGTGCTTACTCTGAAGTTTTGAGAGTGAACTTAGTGTCTTTCATCTCTCACTAGCTATCTGCAAGTATCCTGCTATGGTTCAACCTCTGCTATGCAAAACAAAGCAAAGAAACCAAACAGGAATTTTGGCCTCTTGTGCAACATTGTATTTTCCTTTGTTAAAAACGCTTTAAACAGTCAACTTGTCACCTATTATAAACTGCAAAATACTTACTAACAGCTGCATTCTCATATTTTACATTTTTCTCTTTGCATCTCTTTTTTGTATCACTCATTCTGGATTTCTTTTTTTGTTTATTTTATTACAGCACTGTGGTACGCTAGTTAAAGCCTATCACGTATTTGTATTACCTTGGCAAAGGCTTCAGATTAGAGGAAATAAAATCATGCAATTCCCTGGCAGTTCTAGAAACAAAATCCACTCTGGAGCCTTCATCCTAGTCCCTTAGCAGAAAAATGTACTTCCCCGGTGTTCCGAATGGGCTTTATGAAAAACAAGCAAACAAGCTACTAATTAGTACTTCATAATCAATATGTTTTGCCTTGAAGAGTGTTAAATTGGAACCACGTGAAATGCTGAAAGTTAATCCAAGAAATATTTCTGTTAATGATTTTGCTCTCAAGCAAGCTAGTTGTTCCATCATTTAACCAAAACTAAAATAAATTCTATCTTTTTTTCCGAACGGAAAACCCAATGTGGCTTTGTGTTTATGCTAAAGGTCTAGGGCTTCTGGTAACTGTTTCTAATACATTCATTAATACCTTACAAATCTTGGGCAAATACCTACTTATCAACCTCTACATGAGCTTCTGAATCCTAGAAGCAGCAGTAATGCAGACAAACTCCCCCTTACTCAACAGGCCCTTTCTGCTAAGCCTTCCTGTCTTTGCTTGGAAACCCTGATGGGCACTAGAGATAAAAGGAAGAATGGGAAGGAGTACTGACCACAGMGGTACTGCCCCTTTTACCAGGCTCTATCACAGGATAAATATTTGAAAACAGTTGCCATCAATTACTTTTTAAAAATCAGTAACACATAGGAATGGTGTTTTGTCCTCATTAGTCACGTGTTACTATGTCATCTGTGATGCAAAAAGCATTTTTAWTTTTTTATTTTATGTTTAAATTTATATTATGTTTAAAATATGTAAAAAAATAGATACAAAGAATGTTTAAATTTTGTATTACTTCGTTTTCTGACTAAGGAGAAACAAGYTGTTCTTTCCCATCAACCAGTTTGACCACACTTTGTCTACAAACATCAAAGAGATAATCAACATAATACAATCTATAAAAGTCTTAATTTATGACAAAGTTAATGTAAATAAGTTATGATTCCTTTTCGGATGACAAAGAATTGTCTAGCTTGCCTCYTAAATCCACATTCAAACTGTTTCCAAGTTAATTAAGACATGAGTAATTGCTCAGAAATCTTTAGAATAATAGAACAAATTTGAGAAAAAGTGTGTCTTGGTAAAATACTGAAGAGCATTGCACATTGCTGCATGCAAAAGTTAAGTGCCTTTTATGATCCCTGTAAGAACCAGCATGCCCTTGAGGCTGTGCAGTTCTAAATTTCGGGTATCATTTGTAGGGAGGGACTATTAGGATCAGAATGCAGTAATATTTCAAATACAGCCTCAGTTTTTCAAAATTTAATGAAGTATTAGCTTAGGTTAATATGCAATGAGTCGTGTTTTTTAACAGAAGCAGTATTACAGAACTTTATTTCAAATCATGACTGAAACATGTGCAACTAATACTGAATCAGAAGAAATCAGAGCAGCTTTTTCTTGGGAAAAGGCCAATATGAACTATGAAAACACTACAACAGAAAGGGCTGAGGGCAGAGCTAGTATCAGTTTTGGAAAGTTAAAACACCAGGCAAAAATAACACCTTCTCATTCAACCAATTTGTCCCCAACACATGCTCTTCATCCTTAACCAACACAAACCTCACTTGTATAAACTGGCTTTTGAGCCTCAGCATGAGGGTATTAAGTGATACGGTCGCTTTGCGCCAGTCTCCTGGTTTCAGAGTTACACTGGCTCCGGCTCGTGCCAAATGGGCTGACATCCCCCTCCCGAGCTGCCCCTGAGCATCACCAGGGTTGCTCCCTTCATTACAACTGCCAAACAAGCCCGTTCCGCCCATGCAGACTCCGAGCGCCTCTTGGCCACAGCGCAGAGACAGGCRCGCTGGAAAGGCAGCGCTGAGGCTGTCAGTGAGCTCAGTACTCACTGACATAAATAAATACTCTTTATTTCCATGCCCAACCAACAAAACAGTGGGAAGCAGCTTTCTGGTCCCAAATCAAGTGTCCAAAGCTGGTCGTTAGAAATAGTATCCCTTTAACTTGGAAACAGAGCACAATTATCTAAAGATCTGTGAAATATGAAATTCAGGCTGGCACTTTATGTGTGTATTTCTTAGGGTTAATGCTGCAGTTAATGTTCTTATAACAGACTGTGACAACATCAGACACCAAAACTGCAGGGAAAAATAAAAAGGGAGGAAAAAAAGAATTACTTGAATCTGATCAAAGCCGGAGCATTAGCTCCGAGTCCTCTTGCACGCCTCAGATCTGCTTTCTACCTGCTCAGCTATTAGAAAACCTGAATAAACCATAAAGACAGACCGCAAATCAGRAAATCAAGTAATCTGTATCATTTAGTAACATTCTGGAAGTGAAAAGAGATGACAGCATCAGCCAAGCCCCGCTTCTATAGCAGCAGAGTTCCACTTCACTATCCTATGCCCTGTTTGAATGCGTTGAAGCAAAAAACCACCTGACACCAGAGCTTTTCAACAAGATGAGGAGTCAGACTGAACGGAACCGCATCCAGCACCAAAATAAGGGCAATAGAGCACCCGGCCGAGCTGCAGCTCCGCCACGCCAGGCTTCGGGCCAAAAGAGGAAGCRAGGCAGTTACCAACAGGATGAGCTGTGTTATTGTCAAATCACTCTCTTGCTGCAAAATTAACATGTTGCCCCACTTCCCACAGTAGGAAGTCTTGAAATAATTCATTGTTTTTAAAAAACAGAATAGTGCTTTAGATGTTGTTTAAAAAAAAAATCATTTTGCATGTTAACCGTAGTTTTTCTAAAAAAATTTGGAGTACAAGTCGACTTATTGTACCTTTGGAGGAAGAAACCACACCACTTTAAGCAGGTTTATAAAGGCACTTACCATTGGCAGTGCATTGATATGAGCAAGTTTTCCTTTCAGGTGCCTCTTGCCACAGAAGGATGATGCTGAAAAAGGAAATAACGAGACAAAATAGGAAAAATCATTATTTATTATTCTGAAAATGGTGCTGTTAACACACTGACACAGTGGCCAGGAAGAGAGGAGCAAGCRGAGCTGGGTTTGTGCACATATCCTCTTGCTGGCCACATCACAGGAGCGGCTCCCGCGGGGAGTCTGAAGCGCAGAGCTTTGAAGCACAAACGCTGCTGAATGAGCTCACGCATCTACCCCGCTGCGGCTCGGCAGCAACACACGGGACAGGCAGCACGCAGAAGCCCTCCTCCTGCCTCAATTCGCCAGAAAATCGAGGAGGGGTTGAAAATTAACTGGAYAAAGCGAGAAGGTTACAGTGCCCCTTCAACCCATGTCAAATTTCTTCTGGAAATAAAACTCCAGCAAGTGACTTCCATATGCTTAGGGAACCCCAAGCCAAAATACCTGTTGAGGTGGCTGGACTSCAGACTACTCTTTTAAAAGGGGTAAATCCATTGGGGACCCACAGCCCGCGGGGGGTTCACGGGCACGGGGTGAGCAGGGCGCCCGGCGGCTCCCGCACTAGTTCAGGGCCTCAACAGCAGCTCAGGCGGCTGCCGGCGCCTTCCCGAGCCCGGCGCAATCGGAACCTTCTGCCACGACATTCAGGATAAGCCACACATTTAAATTTAAATGTGTGAATTATCACCGAACCCGGCGCAATCGGAACCTTCTGCCACGACATTCAGGATAAGCCACACATTTAAATTTAAATTTAAAAAACACAACAAAATCATCACCCAAAATGCACACTCACCTACACTTCGGTAATTTGCTCTAAACATGAGTAAGTTATTTTACACATATAACAATATAAACAAGCCAGACATTTAGTTAACCTTTGCAAATGCTTTTTGATGTCAAACCACATTAACTCCATGCACAGCAATATCCCTTTCTATTCACTACCAATGATTTTTCTTTATTTGTAAGTGCTCTCCATATAAACACTTGTTAAATACTACTTYTCTCGATAAGAAATAATCTAACAAGCCACTCAAGGAAATGAAAGAGGGACAGGTGGCTACGGGGTGACTCAAATTGTAATTAATCTTTTTCACAGTAAGCTATCTATGAAGCATCTGTAAACTGCATTCACAAACTTTCACTATGAGCAAAGAAGAAACACAGTTTGCAGGGCTCACCATCAGCACGAGGAAATGGTTTATTATAAAACCACTGGGGACCTGGTCAGATAGGGAGCTGCAGCAATTCGGCTAGTTTTCTTCCTAGAACAGCCCTCTGCACCATCAGGGTGACAGACACGTAGCCTTCCATACAAGAGGGGGGTTGCCGCAGGGCCGAGAAGGCACACGGGAATGCTGGCAATTTCAGGAATTTGCAACCATGTTTTTTTCCCCCTCCCCTTTCTCCGTGGCACTGGTGCTGCAGGAAATACATAAATCGAGTGAAGGGAACTTCACGCATCGCGTGGCCAGGAGCAGCCAGGAGCGGGGGATTTTGCACAGCGCACAGGGGCACACGTTGGCACAGGGACAGCCCGTGCACAAGGGCACACGTCGGTGCCTCACCCAGCAGCCCCCTGAAAACATCTGCCCATCACGGAGGGTTTCCTCAAAGCCAGACCTCAGCACTGAGCACAGGCAGGGCACGTCCTCTGCCTCCAAGAGAGCCTAAGGCCCCAGGAAGGCCGGTCTGCAACGCGCACAGAGCTCTGCTGCCCGCCCCGGCGCGCCGCTCCGTCTGCGGGGCTGCCACGACGAGGGGATAAACACGAGGAAAGGACAAGGGCACGAACGGAAACACCCGCTTCCGAGGAAGGGGCTTTCCTGGGCACACACAACCCACAGTGTCTATTTTTTTTGTTTTCATGACAAAATCTCAGATGGAGAGAGACAACGGGACAGCACTGGGTGACAAACCAGGTTCAAAACGCCCTCAATGCACATGTAGCCTCACATTCCCTACCTATTTTCCAAACGAGACCATTTCAGAAAAAGCAGATTTTTAAAAGCTACTTGCCAAAAACACTTCATTTTTTTCCTCTGCAAACATCACCATGCCCATGGTTTCCCCCMGGCACCCATTACACACAGACCATGAGGGCCGAGGCTGGAAGTGCTGCGGCTAACGCAGCGGATTCGGCAGGAGCCCCGAGTCATTTCTGTTCTTCACTTGAACTTGCACCCTCACGGTTTTCTTATAAGCCTCTTAGCATCACAGTTTAGACCACTTCCCGAGAGTCTTCTGCTATTTTAACAAGTTTACTCATTAAAATTTGCTCTTTGCACGTTACAAAAGCCTCTCCAGACACAAGAAACTTTTTCTTAAGCATCTTGGTTTCTTTTAATCTGGCTTCAGTATCTGGAAAGAGTGTCCTAAACAAAACAGATTTAAAAATAACTAAATCCTGGCTATTCCTCTCAGTAGCTAGGCTGCAAAAAGCATCAGGCAAKAATTTGGGAAGCCTAAATCAAAAGCTAATCACGCCCTTGAAAGCTGCCTCCCATTTGGTTAACAGGCACATACAGATGCTGGCCATTCTAGCACCGTGATGCTTGCAACAAACTGAGAAATGACAAAGTTCTCTCCATTGCTCCCACTTCCTCTGCAACATATGGATTTAAAGAAAATAATTAGAATTCATCACTTGCACAATAACGTCTCTTCTTCTGATCTAATAGAGGAGCTAGATAGAGACARGTATTGACTCAAAAATTTAAGGAGCAATAAATATGTACAAAAGAGAAAAATCAAGATCCATGCAAAAATGGTCTTTATCTGCAATAAATGAATTGGCAGTAACAGAGCTCCTAGTGACAGGACAAAACACACGTGAACGGCAGCAGAAACCACTGCCRCAGATGCACAACTCCTCCATGGGAAGCCAATGGGAGATTGTATACGGAGAACGTACAGGTTCATACCAGCTAAAAAACCCTCCACAAAGTAGATATTCTCTTTTGTATATCAAACACATAGTATGTATGTACACGTAAGTGGGTAAACCAACTCTTAAGCAAAACAGGGCACCTACAGTGGTTAAAGAATAAGGAATGGGTAAKGAGACAACACTAATGAAGATAAAATAGCTTCTGGACACAGGTACCATTCCGTTTTCCAAAAGGATACAATAATAACAGCAGCAGCAAAGAAGGATGAGCTGCAACACTGTCACCACAGGAAAAGCAAGGCCAAATAAATCACCCAGCAAAGCAACAGGGAGCTCAGCAGCAGTTCCATGCAAGTTTAGAACAAAACACCAAACTCTACAGTAAAAACCAAACCCTGCGGAAGACGTTAGAGGCTGCTGAAAGGAGGGACCCCCTGGCAGGCAGCGSGACCGGACAGGGACAGCCAGGAGGGAGCCCGTTCATGCCGGGAGGAGGCTCCGCAATCCAGAGCTGCTCCCCCTGCAAGCCGGGTAAAGGAACCTCCTCAGCAGCAAAGACAAACCACACACAGGGAAAATAAAACATTACTGCTGTTAACCCTGGACTAGAGCAGAAAAGAACGTAGCTAGTGGTTACTGAAAGTGCTGAGCATCACGCGAGCTGAGACCGGCTCTGCATTAGTTGCCTTGACAGAAAACGTAGGAGAAGCCACCAGGAAATGAAATCACTCTCTTGAGCTCTGCATCTTACATCCAGCTTCTTAAACAGCTTGAATTAAAACCTTGGATCTAAGTCTCTTATTCAGCATCCTATTTTACTGTTACTGGAAAGGATAAAATGTAATTTCACAAAACATAGTGTCTGTRAAGTATTTTATAAAATCTTTACATGAAAAGCATTGTACCTACACCCAGATACTGGTTTGTGGGGGAGTGGAATAATTTCCTTCCCTTTGCATTGTCATGAAATCCTGCCTTTATAGACTATCACATACACAGCAGTGAATGGAAAGTAAAATGTGAAGATAGCATAAAGGTGAATTTAAGGTAATTTTCTATTTATGTTGCTTTTATATTGAGCTGAAAACAGCAGACACACTCAGTGGCAAATGAACTCAGAATTAAATCATAATTAATCATTGCAAGATTAAGCAGAGAAAAGACCAAAAAGAGCAGCCTCTCAAGCAAACCGTGTGCTCAGCAACCTCTCACCTCAGCCTGAGAAGGGCAAACAACCAACCCTCTCACTATGGGGSAGAGAATCCTATTGTGCAGCACTGAGGGGCCACCTGGTTCATCCCACTAAGTTCAGTATGCGTTTTGGATAGACACACTGCATCAAAACACACATATACATTAATTTCCTTTCATAAAAGTGGGCAGAGGCCATTAACTTAGAGGAGGCTGTGCAGCTGAACAAGAGCAACACAAATGTTCTGTCCATGGGGCAGAACATTTCCAGAGACCCGACAGCTACCTGGACAGCCAAGGCTACCCAGGCTCTCCCGTCAGTCTTGAACTTGGGGGATACAGAGCAGCCTTCACACAGTTCTACTGTGTAAAACACTTTTTCCCCTCTTCATTTCTGCTAACACTGCCCACTTGGCTGTGTTGTTTAGATATTCAGGGCAAGATCCCCCTCTGCTTTGGGATTTATGGTGGCCTTGCAGAAGCAGCAGCCGGCCTTACGGCAGGCATCAGAAATCATTACAGTGCAGCACCGGTACAACTGTATTTCCTTCCGAGACTGATTTGTTCTCAAGGAGCTTAATTTATTGAAAATACTAAAATTCTGTCTCAATTGTATCTTGCTTTGGGAGGTRGGACCCATGGTTTAAGTAGAAACCATATTTAGAAGTGGGATAAAAATTAGAGCACGTTTAAGGAAGGAATTCCTGGAAGATAACTAGAGGGCATGACAATATTCTCTTTATTTTCAATCTTAATGAATGTAGCTACTCTGTGTTTCTCAGTATTGTTAGGAACACCATCACCCCTGTTTTTCTGAAGGCTGGAAGTCAAATGGGGTAGGCGTTTTTCCCCAAGTAGAAGCTGGATCTCGGTTTTCTCCCGAGCCAGGCTAAGGAGCGGCAGGGAACGGGCAGGCGACGCAGGCGG